TCTCAAATAAATAAATAAAATCTTTAAAAAAAAAAAAAAATGAATTTGTGTCCCTTGCAACCATGCCAATTAGAGACAATGTGTATAAACTGATCAACTGGCAGGACAGGCTCAAGGTGCATGTTCTGACAGAAGAGTCTCATCCCATCATCCCGGTGCATGCCCTACCCCATCTTCCTCCACCTTTCCTTCCCCTCACTCTTTAATCCTTCACACTACAAAGTCCTCTGGTCTGGGCAATGGTGTGAACTTGAAATCACAAACCCGCCCACTGCCCCCAGAAGCATCCTGAGAAAGTGCTCTTCTATCAAGTTCCCTCCCCAAACAGCACAGGGGTTACTTAGGGCCAGCACAGGCTACCTGAAACAGGGTCTGTCTGTCACTGACTTCCCCACCTCTGCCTAGCAGCTCTCCAGGTCACAGTCCTCAAAAAACACATGGAGAAAACAAGCTCATTCTCTTTTTCCCAGTCATTAAAAATAAATCCAAATGGTCCCCAATTCAGAACACACCTATCAATGAAAAAAGTTAAAAGAGAGGGAGGTGCCCACCCACATAATCTTTCCATTCAAAGAGGCACTATTTCACAGCTGCTATGGAGTTTATAATTAACAGACAAGCTTAACCAACAACAGAAGTTTCTGGAATCTACTGTAATTTACACTAGGGCCTTGCTTATTACAAATTTAGATTACAAGCATGGGCTGGATTCTGTGGCTGAATCCAAAAGCCTTCTTGATGCACCTCTAGCTCAAGTCTCTTGCAGTCACTCAGCCTTGCTTACAGGGAGCGGCTGCAGGCTGAGGCGTCGGCCTGACCCAGTGTGCAGGCTGAAGCAGTGACTACTCCTGCTCACTCACTCCCAGAGCCCACAGACCACCCACCACTAGCTCCGTGGAGCTGTCAGGAGGTTCCACTGGAACAATGTCACATTGCACTGAGGTGCATTCACCATGGGGCCTCCCACAGGTCTTTGCGATGGTTGGACTGCAAGCATTTTGTTTCCTTTCTCACCTGCCACCCCAGGTTGAATCCTCTCACCCCAGGTTCTAAGACAAAGGTGGGGGGGGGGCGGGCAGGCTGCCACAGAGGGCAGAGTCACAGAGCAGACAGACAGGAGGACGGGAGCAGGGCAGCCTTCACAGGCCACAGGTAGCTTTGCTGAGTCGTCTTTACCATTTGAATCTACTGCATCAAGAGCTACACTACCACAGGAAGTCTCCTTTTACAGGAAAGGGAACTGAGCTCAGAAATACAGAGACGGGTTAACGCCTACACCTGGTTTGTCTGACTCCAGAGTTTACCCTAACTGTATTGTCTCTGCAGTCCTGGAAAGATCTCCTCCTGGTCCCCAAAATCCTCCTTCAAAGGCTGGCCAGGGTAAGGACAAATCCTTCAAGGATCATTGGTATGAAGAGGGCCTTAAATGTCTCTAAGTCCTGGCTGAACGTACACATTCCCATAGGAAGGAGCAAGCTGTTGGTCTGTGACTTGCCATTAATCTCTCTCTAGGCATTAGTGTAAGATACTGGCTCTCACTTGAAACAGAGCAAGAATAGGAGTCTCATGTAAGATACAAGTGAGTTTTAATAGAAGGAAGGGAAAGAAGACCTTGGTTTTTTACTCTTTTCCAAAAAGAAAACCATTTTTAGAAATCAAAAACGTTCCTGCATATTATACTTTTATGTTAATTGGTAAAACACATAATGGGTAGGGTTTACTAACTCAATTATGAATTGGTAGCACACTTACTGAAATTTTATTTTAATGAATAACAGAATCTACTAACATTTGAAAACCTGTAGGATCAGGTGCATTGTACATATAAAGGTGTACAAACATACGGCTCATGCTACAAACTCCTTCCTTGAAATCCCAAGAGTCCAGGGCCCACATGTTAGGAAAGCCCTGACAGAACACTGGGATTTTCTCCAGGTGAGCAGGCCTGATGGGATGTCTTAGGGAGGGCTCCAATGAGGGAACCCGGGGCAAACAAGGGGGAAGGAGCCCACAAATCATACTTCACATACTTCATAATTTTGCTTAAGACCAGCCCTATGGCCCTTTATCCAATGGTCAAATTATTAATTTATAAATTCATACTGACATTTGGGCAGGTGAACTATGGAACACAGCCACTTGCTATGGGAGGGAATAAATATGAGAAAGGAGGGAGACAATGTGTCATGGTAAAAATTTAGCTCATCCTGATGCCAAACTGACCTTCCTAGATAAACACAAAAGAGTAAAATAATCTAGGAAAAAAACTGAAAAAATTTAGCTCATCCTGATGCCAAACTGACCCTCCTAGATAAACATGAAAGAGTAAAATTATCTAGAAAAAAAACCAGCAAGGCTGTTCTTTAATGAAGCTTCTGTATCTTCACTTGATTTGGATTGAATAAAAGATAATAAGTAGCAAGCAAAATGACACCTGCCCATGTTAGTGTGAAAAACACAACATGGTCACAACTGAAGACCCTACCTTATCATTTCTCACCAAAAGGAGACCCATTTAAACATCATCACTACTACTTCCAAAATCCAAGACTGAGAAAGTACCTCATAGATTCATTCATGCTACATATATACTCAAGGTCAAACTCACACAGAAAAAGTGGGAAGAAAATAAATTGAAATCAGCGGACTTTAAATATGTACAGCCCCTTTCACCCTCCATCACCAGTCTTGCCACACTATTCAACATTCCCTGAACAAGGACTGCACCTTGACAGCCATGCCTTTAAAACAAAACAAAACAAACCACAGGGTACACTCAGGTGTGTGCAATAAGCCACATGCATACACACACACAGACACACACTTGCCGAAGTCCTACTATGCTTCTTACTTGACCCCCAAAGGCAGAATGGATCCCGCTCCCCAGCTCCCTCCAGCATATTCTTCAACTTACTTCACACATCCTTCCACGGGGGATCCCTGGAGCCACATCATCACTAACTCCCATTCAACTATCTCTTCACACGAGCACAGTGCTTAGCCCAAAATGCTAAACAAAAGCATGTTGCCAAAACTGATGAATGAACACGCAATTAGGAGGAAAAATGAGGTGAAAATGCTTCTGATATTGACTGTGTGAGGGTTACAAATCACAAATGATCATAATGTCTTAGCATTCAATTACCAGAGAAAAATCTCTCTAACTCTGAACTCGTCAACCTCACCCCGCACTCCGGCCAGTGATATTACATATGTTATCTAATAAAACGAAAAAGGAAAAGTCTGGTTTTCTGACAAAAAGATCTGCATTGAACACAAAAGTTCCAAACAGTAAGGGATCCCTGCACCAGATCAGAGCCTCTCGAAAGATAAACACTCAGTGAGGTAATCTTCAACCCGCTCTCCCCCTTCCCTCAGCCTTTCTCACCAATCATGGAGGTGAACTAGGTGTGCTCACCTGGCTTATTTCCTTCCCTCTCGTGGCCCAGCTGCCCCTTGGTGTTCAAACCGCAGGTGTAAACTTCCCCATCCTCCAGCAGAAACACGGAGTGGTTTCCTCCACAGGCCACTTCCTTGACGCTTCTATCAGATATGAATCCACACACCTGTGGCTCAGCCACAATCCCTTGCAGGTTGGTGCTGATCCCAGGTTGGCCCAGAGACCAATATCCCCAACATAACATTGTTCTGATCCTTCAGGGAGTCATGTAGCCTAGAATAGAGTTCTGTAAAAAAAAGGTTAAAAAAAGAGGTCAGAGAAAATAACTTTTAAGTAATAAATATAATCAATTTTAAAAAGAACACTCCCCTTAATATTCTCCAGATACCTTGCATCTCAATACATATTAATATCGTTGAAAATATTTATAGTAATGCTGTTATTTTTGTGTTTCAGTAGGAGTTTAAAAAAACATTTCTAAACAAATTTTGTTTGTATAAATGAATAGTGAACGCAAACAGAATGTGACTTTTAGATCGCTGATAAGGAACTCCGAGCACAAGAGACTCGCTAAAACAATCTTTGCAAACCATTATGGCAATAACAGTCTGGAAATTACCCTCCTAATTTCATCTTGTCCTTTCTCTTTGCCCCTTTTGAGTTTTTTGCTTATTTCATGTTATAAAATTTTTTGAACTAATTAACTCCTTTAGGTAACCTACTGTTAGCTTGGACAGTAGTAATTCACCACTTGAAACAAAACATAATAATAATAATAATAATAATAATAAAATGAAAAAAAAGAAAAATGGGGAAAAATGTTATCTTCCCTGCCATTTCTTCTTACACATCCTTCTGGCTCAGAATCAAGCTTCACTTCCTACCTAAAAGCCCCTAGGGATCATTCCAGCCACAGTCAGCCTGCATTCCTCTGACACATCTACTATAGTGTCTTGGTTGGAGACTTTCTCTGTGGTTTGTTGTGGGGTTTTTTTTGCTTTTTTTTTTTTTTTTAAACTTAACTCCTCAGCCAGAGCCTAACTCCCTTAAATAGGGAACACAGTATAACATACCTCTCTTATTTAGCAGCTACTCAATCAACTTTTGACTGATCCTTGCTGACTCCAACCCAAAGTTTCACCACCTTTTAGAAATTTATGCTTCCCTTTCATACAAACAAAAACAAAATCTCATCACGTTCTACCAGTTCACACTCACTAGGATGGCTATAATCAGAAACGACAGATAATAACAAATGTTGGTGAGGATGTGGAGAAACTGGAGCCTTCTACATTCCTGGGGGGAACATAAAAATGTGCAGGTCCTTTGGAAAAATATTCTGGCACTTCATCAAAAGGCTAAAAATACAGCTACCATATGATCTGGCAATTTCACCCCGAGGTATATATATATCCAAGAGATTTGCAAATATATGTCCACACAAAACCATGTACACAAGCTCCTGGGTGGCTCAGTCGGTAAAGCGTCTGACTTTGGCTCAGGTCATGACCTCAGGTTCTTGAGATGGAGCCTCATGTCAGGCTCCCTGCTCAGCAAGGAGTCTGCTTGTCCCTCTGCCCCTCCCCACGCCTCATACTCATGTGCATGCAAGCTCTTTCTTGCTCTCTCTCAAATCTTAAAATAAAAACACACACAAAAAAACTTGTACACAAATGTTCATAGCAGCATTACTCATAATACCAAAATGCAGAAATAAACCCAAATACCTATCAATTGATGAATGGATAAACAAAATGGGGTACTTCCATACCACAGAATATTATTTCACTACCTATGGTAATGTTATCTGACTTATTCTTTGAACTCTTAAGGCTTTCAGGAAAGGCATGGAAACCCAAAATAAAATATAAAACTGAATCTCAAGATGCTTTCTTAACCAAAAAGTTCTGTTTCTTCCCACGATTTGTATTCCTTGTCTAGACTCTAGAACTAAAAGGACATTAAGCTTAGCTGTTATTCTTTAATTACAAAGGGAGTCAAGATAAAACACAAACTGGGGCAGGGGGTAAGATATACATTTTAAAAGACCAGAAAAATCACATAATCTTTTCATAATTTAACTTTCCCAACTAACTTCTTTCATCATTTTTAATGTTTCGTGAATTCGTCTTATCTCACCTACCAATAATTACATAAGCAACATCATAGAGCTTACTATGCAACAGTCACTGTGTTAATAAGCATTTTACATCATTATTTCATCTTCACAACAACCTTGTGCCATAAATACTATTTTTAGCTTCATTTTCTGATAAAGCAAGCCTCAGAGAGACTGAGAAGCATGCCCAAGGTCACACAGCTTGAAGGCGTCAGAAGCAGGCTACGAATCTAGGCCTGATACCAATGTCCACAGTCTTATCCACTGGGCTACACTGCCTCCCAAGCAGGTCACCTACAGGAGCAAGAACACAAAAATTACTTGCAGAATGACTAACTGTAGTCAGGATACAATACAGTATGCCCTGCAAAGCTGAAAATAAAGTTGCCCTCTGAGAGTGAAACTAGTCAGAATTAAGAGATAATGGCTGAGATTAGGCAGCTGTAGCATTAAGCCATCCCCTTAACCAGCCAAGTACAAACAGTGCATCTAAAAATATGACATCAAGAAGCTACAATTGTATGTCTGCAAAAAGATCTATAAACAATGCTCACAGCAGCTTTATTCATACTAAACAAAAATGGCAACAACCCAAATGTCCATCAACAGGAAGCTGGATAAACAGACTGCAGTATATTCATACAAGGAACCCCCTGTATGTTCCTTGTATGAATATACAGGGGGAGGGGGCATGGCTGAAACCCACTTAACGTAAAAGCAAGCGGCAACTCAATGTGACGCAATCCTTCCGAATGATAAAGGTTAGTTTAAAAAAAATTCCTCAAGGGTGTTATCAACTGCTTTTTTTAAATCCATGTCCCAAAGTCCCTCTTCATCTAGTAACAAATTCGCTGCTCTCTTGTACAAGGGTAAGCATGACCCTGGCTAAGCCAATCAAAGAACACCCCTCCAGGGGTGCCTGCCTGGCTCAGTCAGTTAAGCTTCTGCCTTCAGCTCAGGTCATGATCCCAGAGTCCTGGGACTGAGCCCCGCATCGGGCTCCTGCCATCGGGCTCCCTGCTCCGGGGGAAGCCTGCTTCTCCCTCCCCCTCTGCTGCTCCCCCTGCTTGTTCATGTTCTCTCTCTCTGTCAAATAAATAAATAAATAAAATCTTAAAAACAAAAAACAAAAAACCACCCCCACAAGCCATCACATGACCCCCCACCAAGCCAGAGAAGGCCACCCCTAAGCCACAAGACATGACCACAGCAAACCAATCAGAGAACGCCCCCTAAACCATTTTGACTGGTTCAGGGATAGGTTCACACTCCCAAGGGAGCCAGAGTCCTTCCCCATGAAGCTCACTGGAGCTCCAAAGGAAGACTGCCTTTTGCCTCTGAAGGATAACTGAGGCTGCTGCGAGCTCTGTTCCCTGCCACACGAGGATACCTGTAAGACATTATTACCCTCCTAGCCACAGAGTTTCAAAGACAAGAGACAGAACCAGTCCCAATAATGTTGCTTAGCGGCGGATCCCCTCTTGTCTGGTGCCAGAACCACCACCTTCACTCTTCCCGACTGCAGCTGTTCTTCATTATTTGTGGGCTCCATGCATGTGAATTTACCTACTCACTCACATGTATTTGTACCCCAAGAGCGATACTTGGAGCATCTCTGCAGTCCTTCTCGGATAGGGGCAGAGAGGTGAAAAATCTGAGTCACCCTACGCACACGTTCCCAGCCGAAGTCAAACAAGAGGATGCTCTGCCCTCTCGTTCCAACTCTCATACTGTAAAGAAGTGGTCTTTCTGCCATCTATTTAGTGCCAGACTTTTCAGATTTTTACAGTTTTTGTTGGTGATTTTGCTATTTAAAATGCCACCAAGCACAGTGCTGATGCTGCCTAGTGTTCCTAAGTACAAGAAGGCTGTGCTGTGCCTCACCAAGAAAATACATGGGTTAGACGAGCTTCACTCGCGCATGAGGTATAGTGCTGTTGGCTGTGAGTTCAATGTTAATGAATCAATCGTGGGATAGATCTAAGAAAAGGAAGAAGGAATCTGATGATCTACACATGTGGTGGCTGTGGAAAGTGCTAAAGTAACATCTACAGTGCATAATGAAGCTACAGAAAGACGGAAAAGTAGCTGAATCTGTGGATGCACGAGATGATTGTAGTGTGTGGTGGACGGCATTGCTGGGAGGCTGAAAGCCAAAGAAGTACACCGTCGCGTTACCGAGGATCAGAAAAATGTTAAAAACCCTCTTAGCTAGAGTTCTGTCATAAAGAAATATTGTATACAATTAATCACTTGTGAAAAATACATATTAAACTGGGCATCTAAACAGAAATACGCATAAAACACACACAAAACAAGGTCATATACGGATTGGCTGAGCAGAGGCTCTCAGCAGGAACCTAACTAACCCTGTATTTCTGTAAGAGCAGTAGCTCAGTATTCACTAATTCAGTGTTCGCAGTGGCTTTGTAGAACACAACTACCACGAAGAACAAAAATCAACTGTATACAGTCTGAATCTCCCTTTTGTGTTTATTTAAGATTGTTCAAATTGGGGGCGCCTGGGTGGCTCAGTTGGTTAAGCGACTGCCTTCGGCTCAGGTCATGATCCTGGAGTCCCTGGATCGAGTCCCGCATCGGGCTCCCTGCTCGGCAGGGAGTCTGCTTCTCCCTCTGACCCTCCCCCCTCTCATGCTCTCTCTATCTCATTCTCTCTCTCAAATAAATAAATAAAATCTTTAAAAAAAAAAAAAAAAAGATTGTTCAAATTGGATTTCTGTCACTTGAAATTTTTAAAAAAGTCCTGACTGATAATATTAATAATTACATTATTAATAATAACAGCAGGTAAGACTTAATTTGAGCTTACTCTGAGCCTGGCACTTTTTCCATGTGCTTCACAGATATTAACTCATTTCATCTTCTATGAGGTAGGTGCTGCTATTATCATGTCTAACCTATAAATGAAAAAAAGTGGAACCAGAAAGAAAGGATAAAGGAAAAGAAAAAGATAATAAAACAGAGAATGAAGGGACTTGACTAAATCACACAACTAGGCAATGGCAGAGTTAGGATTTAAGCCCAGAGTCTGTGCTCATGACCATTATGCCATCGAATAAGGAACCTAGAAAATAAGGCACCAGCCAAAGGGTCAGAACTTCCCAATGTCTCCAGCACCGTCCAGAGAGAAAGGGCACCATTACCAGTGAACCCATGTGAAATGCTAAGTAATCACTGCCCAATAGTGGAGGTGGGTAGATCAGACTCCATAACATTAGTCATTAAATTCACCCAGCCACTTGCCATACTTAGATTCCATAATTAACAAGCACCTTAAATAACTTGGTTTCCAAGGCAGCTTCTACCATGGGGAAAGAACACCGTGACCAGCTGACCCAAATGTCCCAGCCTTCTTGGCATTTCTACTTCTCATTATTAATTTAGCATCCTGGATGTATTAGCTTCTTGTAAGTTTTTTTAGCATGAGTTAGTCTTTGAGAGTCAGCTGAACTCTGGGTGCTTTGACCAGCTGCAAGCCTGAGTAAGCAGCCTGATGTATGGCCTCATCCTGATTTTACTACCATTCATTTCAAAAAAGACAAATAGAACTATTGTTCAAGAAAACTTCAAAAATCCTTCCCACCTGAGTTATAGTAATGGAATTTTCAAGTAGTCAAATAACAACTACTTACTAGGAGAAGTAACGAAGGAGGAACCACAAATAAAATGTATTCCCATGAATGGATTAAAAACCCTAATTAGAAGTGTGATCTAGGTCATCAGGATGCTCTGCCAAAACTATAGCAGGAGGCACTAAAATCATCTGGCTTTCAGGAGAGAAGTTCAGCGCAGTGCAGAGAAGCAGCCGTTAATACAGCTTTCACTTAAAAGTACACCCTAGAAGAACCCCCAAATCTAGCAGGGACTGGCATCTGTGAATTTAAGGTCTAGCTTCAGCAATGTTCTTCATCACTTGGAATTTTGCTCTCCCAGGTCCTCCCACCCATTTTTCCTCACCCACTGTCTCTCCCTTGCTCCTAGAGGAGTGGAATATTCTCCTTCCTTTCAGAACACAAATTATGAACAGTGCTGCAGAAGGATACAGGACTGCACTCTGGCTCAGCACCTAACGCCAACCACTGCGGTCCCAGCCCCTCCTTTTCCTGCCTGACTTCCCCATCACAAAGCAAAAGGAAGGAAGATGTTCTGTTCCCTCCATGTCACACCTGGTACTTTTCCCAGCCCTTCTCCTCATCTATTTTGGTAAAAGATTCAGGATAATCTCAGCAGGGTCTAAAGGTCAAAAGGACTAAAGTTCAAGCCTGAATTAACCCCATGCTAGCTATGAAATCTTGGGGAAGGTATTAGCCACTGTTTCCTGTTTCCAAAATGGGGAGAAGGGTGCTTAGCACGATGCCCAACACACAGGACTAACTGACCAATAAATGTCACCTGCTCTATCACTGTTACTCCCTAGTCCTGGTGTTCTTCCCCGAGACCCTCAGCAAACAGGACAGCCCCCGAAAGAGGCTGGCGGTATGACTCCTTTCTTCCTCCCCGTGCTTAGCATTAGCCATGTTCCGCCAAGTCTGTGCCACAGCAAAGCAGCACTACCACCATCTGTCATAACTTTCATGAAGGGGATTCGAGGTTGCTAGGACAAAGTTTTCTGCATGTCTTTTCTTTCAAATTCTGGGTGGGGGGCGCGGGTAGATAAAACTCTCTTTATCAGTCCTAGTAAGCTGAATGCTAAAAGATAAGCTGCAATTCCTAAACTTCGTCTCATTAATCAGACCATGCACACAGCAGCCTAACGACTGATTCTTATTCCTTGTCTGAAAGCCACTGGAACCTAAATAACACTCGGGCAGGACTTCTAATCTCATTCATAATAGGGATAAGCGTCCTTTCAAATAAGCTTAGAAGCCATTACCTGCATGGTGTAAGGGGAGAAGGGGGATCTTTTTCAATAGTAGGAAAAGGCAATGCACAAGGCTTCAGAGCTCTGTAGGCCCTCCCCAAATCAAAGCTTGAAATAAGTCTGGAGCCGAAATTCAAATGCAGAATTAATTCCAGTGACAAAAAAGATTCATTCTGATGACATGCTTTATTGTTAAAAAGGTTACTTACCAGACAGAAATGGCAGAGAAAGCAAAGAGAAGTTTTCAATCCTGAGACTCCGCTCCTTGCCGCTTTCTCTCTCTCCTTCACTTCAGCTGGACTTTGGTTCTCTGACTCTTTTAGAAAGCACAGGAACCATTTCTAGCCCTCCCCAGAAGGGACCATTACAGATGGTACCTTCTTCACTACCTGGTGCTGGGCCCTGTGAAGCTAGAAGAATGATCTCTCTACTGTCTGTGTAAACTCTGGGCTGCCTTCAAAAGACACTTGACCAGCCTGGCAAGAACTGAAAAGTCTGACAGTGCCAAGTGAAAAATATGAAGCAACCAGGACTCTTACACAAAGCTGGTGGGAGTGTAAATTGACATAACCGCTTTGGAAAACAAGTTGGCATTATCTAGTGCAGGTGAAGATGGGAAGAGCCCACAGCATGGCAGTTTCACTCCTACCCATATGAACAACGAAATCCAACTTACCAAGCACCTACGGGGCTCCTGCGCCATGCTGAGAACTGGAGATACAAAGATGAGTGAAAGCTGGAAACGGAACTTTCTCCAAAGATGGAAATGTTACATACCTACACTGTCCAGTATGGTAGCCACTAGCCACACAAGGCTACTGAACACCTGAAATGTGGCTAATGCAACTGAGGGACTGAAATGACTTTTAATTTTAATCCAAGTCATATATGGCTAGTGGCTACCTTATTCTACAATGAAGCAAGAACCCCCCGGACATGTACCTTAAGATATATGCACAAGAATGTCTGTGTCAGCACTGTTTGAAATCGGTAAAACAAAGACAACCCAAATGTCCATCAATAAGGAAATGGATAAACTGTGGCACAACAGTCAAAAATAAATGCACTCTACAAGCACCAATGAAGCTAAACCTTGAAAGCAATGTTGAGGGGAAAAATTTTACAGAAGAATTTAGAGAATGATGAATTTTTACAAAGTCCGAACACAAGTATAACAAGTATTTGTAGATAAAAACATTAGTGGTGGCAAAGCCATGAAGAAAAGAAAAAAAAAAATTGATAAATACAAAATACAAGGTAATGATTATGGAGCCAAGAGAGCTGGAGGGTACAGTGTGGAAGGAGCACAATGGGAGCTTCGATAGCATGGCTAATGTTCTGCTTCTGTCCTTTTATTGTTGCCTCTTAGCACATATATTACATATATTGTCTTATGGCTACAATTACTTCACAATAAAAGAAACGGAAAAGTACTACTGAGGTAGTGTTGCTGCTTCTTGCATCTCACCCACCAATTTCCACCTGTACACAGGCTGGGAGCTTCTCCATGGCAGGGATAGGTTTCACTCATCTCTGGGTCTCCAGTTCTCAGCAAAGTGCAAGAGCCCAGCGCTGCTTGCTAAGTGCCCTCGTGACCTGAACCCAAATCAGGGAAAAGCAGCACTCCCACAACTTCAGTTTGTTAACAGTTTTGTTTTCCAGGTAATACTAGAGAAACATTCCCTATGCAGTAACAAAAAAATAATACTGTATTTCCTCCATTCTAAAATGCACCCTCCTTCACCACGTTTTAGCAGATCTGAAAGTAGAATGCCTTCTACAATTGAAGCTGTCAGTAAAGGGTTGTGTTTCTCAATAGCACCAGCATGCTAGAATTCAGGAATGAAAGCTCTGTGAAGGAAGGACTGAGCTTCTTTTTTTTTTTTTTTTTTTAAAGATTTTATTTATTTATTTGACTCTAGTCTATATCAATCAGGACGCTTTTGGC